ATGTATTGGCAGTCTAGCATGCAGGTTAGCTAATTAATTTCTGCTTACTGTGAAGCGAATTTGAAAGGGAAATTGTATTGAAATTAGAATTTCAAAAAGGACTCTTGGAGAACCGCGCAGGACATGGGAAGGTTATATTTGAAGAGTGTGTGGGTGTGTAACAAGAGGGCAAGTGTGCGGAGACTAAGCAGTGTCTGCACAAGTACAGAGGCTACAGAGCCGATGATTAAAGTCAATTTTTTGGCTTATTTCTGTCCAAGTGAATCAATCTCTGCAGATCTTCCAAAAGCAAAGACCTTTATGAGGCCTAAATTGTGACTGTTTTGTTAAAAAAGCTGTCCAAACTGGAGGGATATATCAGTTAAATTGGAATTAGACAAAGAAAAAAGGAAAATGGAAGCAGTGAATCGTGGATTTTTATAATTCACTCAAACTTCAAAGTTTCCATTAATTCATTTTCCGCTAAATGGCCCAAAAAAATCTAATTTAATCACTTGAATATTCACATTTGAATGTGTGATACAGATGAGGGTGGAAGTCATCACAAGAGGAGGATCTTTTTAAAAAATAACTGAACATTAAGCGTACCTTCATGAGCTTGTACTTTTCCTCCATAGCACCTTTATTCCATTACCAGTTGAACCTGAGTCCATGAATTAGTTTTAATTTCAGCCACTTTTATTCATTCTTGCCTGAATTTAATACTTTTACCCTCAATAATTCATCCTTCCATATTTATAATACCGCTTATTCATGGTGAGGTCATGAGATGCACAGTAATGAAAGATGGTGAATAAATAAATGTACACAAAATATAGATGTTTAGGGAAAGCCACATCCAGAAACAACTACCACCTACAGTAATGTGGGTGTTTTTTGGGGGGATTTGTTCAGCACTTTCAGGAAGGGATCTGAATGGTCCTAAATCCAAACAGATGCTCCAGAGCTATTGCCTTTTACAACATATAGTACAGCTCTGTCAAAGCCTGATCTCAAATGGGATTTTCACCATGATTAACGACATCTGCATCTCTAGATATTTTTTAAAATAGCAGCTTTAACACTTATAATAATATGATATTATAATATTATTATATTCTAATAGCTTGCTTCCTTTACATGTTGATGTACTGGTGCTATCTTACTAGCTTAGTTTATTAGTTTTAGTTTTTTCGCAGCATTGATGTGTAACATCCCTCTCTTCTGTGTTATGAGTGTTAGCCAATAATGCCACTGCTTTATTTATGATGTTATCGTTTGGGCATTATGAAAGTTTCATATTTTAGTTCAGATTATCACAGACATTATCAGCGCTGACAGGCTTTAGCATCCATCTCCCAGAGTCAGTCTGGAAGGACCCGAACCCACAGAAGATAGCGATATCCAGGATTTTACAGTCGAGCTGTTGAACCTTTTTATCAGCCTCCCTCCCAACTAGAAAAGTGGTGACAACACTTTGATTTTGATGCATTTCGTATGAAATCACCAGCTCGTGCATTATTGTGATGAAGTGCCCCGTCTGCACATTATGGCCTCACAGATGTTACAGGCTAAACTCAACACTTTACCGTTGCTAAACTCTTTAAAGTTAGGTTGGAATGCTGAAATATGCGCTGCCAAAATTCTAAACATATTTGGACCTATTTACCGAGTTGTTTTAGTTTCAGACATCTTGCGTAAGAATTCTCAAGCTCTCAAAAATACTCAAATCAGCACCTCTGACGGATGAACGATGAAAAAAATAGAAAAGAAAAACGAAAACAAGATAAATGCGAAGCTGCACTGGAAAGGAGAAAATCGAGCTTTTTCAGATGCACCGACAAGAATCTGGCAGGGTTGTGCAAACATGTTGGAAACCTGTTTCTGCTGCCAAGTCTTCACATATAGACACTTGTTGGTGATAAATGGACCGTACCAACACAGTGTGTCTTTTGGGTGTAAGTTGGTACAGTGCAAACATACTTGCATATACTATTATGTAGCATAACAACAATGTATAACAATTATTTGGCTAAGTTAAAACTAAACCATGTTCATTTTATGTGTAGCATAGTAGCAAAATGGTGGAGAGGGAATTCAAAATGAAGACTGGATGTTGTGTTACTTTACCCATGTATCCCTCCAGTGCCCTTAGACAATCGGTGTTACTTTTGACGAGAGAGGACAGCAGACTGACATTTTCTGTGGGCATTTGCTATGGACTCAGCCGGTGTGTCATTTACTGTAGATGACGGGGAAAGGTAAGCGTTAGCAGATGTCAGAGGGTGACGGTGAGAAGTTGGTGAAGAGATGACAATCCTTTATTTAAAACACGAGATGTCTGGGAGCATTGGAAGATAATGGCGTTTTTTTTGCTTCAGATTAATAGTTTTTCCACCGAACGCTTTACTGTATTTACGCTGTCTGTCTGTCACCTGCTGAAGAACAGTCTGAGTGGCAGAAGCTAAGTGTTGGGTTTGGGACTGAGGAGCAACCGGCTGGAATAAAAAAGCAACCAGAGAAATGTTTGGATATTAATCTGTTTCCATAGCAAGAATCAGGAACTGGAGTTCTTTAAAGGTTCCTTAACTGTGAAAAAAGTTCTGTATTTAACTTCTAATTCTCTCACACCCCAATTTTCCCATCATTCTTCTCTACTTCTGAAATAGCTTAAATGGCCCCTAATCGCAGAATTATCCCCCACTGAAAGATACATTATGTTACCACTTTTCCACACATCTCAGATGTTCACCATTCTGGCTGTAAGCTGCCCTGTAATGTGCGACTGTGATGGGGGGGGTGTGTAGCCCCCCTCATCTCCCAAATTGTGATGAAAAATTAGAAACATGGGGGTCGCTTTTTGATGAGCGCCTCCTGTGAGGACGTAGGCGGAGGCAGAACATGTGGCTGATCGGAGCTGGCGTCGTGTCGGGGGGGGGGAAAAGAAAGGCTGGAGAGGGGTGTTGTGCGGCGCAGGTGATGGAGTGTGTGAGGTGTTGTGCGGCGGGGGTGTGGAGTGATGGAGTGCCGGACGGAGGGTGGGTGGGAGGGTGATGAGTGTGTGCTCACAGTGTAAGTGACACCTCTCCTCCTCAGACAGATTGTCTCTCTCTGTCCCAGTAATGGGGCCCCAGTTAGGGCACATTTCCCCCTCCATCGAACCCCCCCTCTGCACACACACACCTTATCACCATCCTCATACCTTCTGGGTTATTTATTTAGCTTTTTTTTTTTTTCCCAACGGAGATCTTGGCCAAATTGGCTGCGTTCTGATATCTTTTTTAGTCTTTAGTGTTTTTTTTTCACCAGTCCGCAGCTCTTTTTGAAGCTGCCGAATCTCAGTGAAGCCGTTTTTTGGCACGTTTTTACACATTTCTCACCTCAGAGCAAGGGATAAAATGAGAAGATGGAATAGAAAAAGAGAAATCACGACAGAAGGAGAGGATATCTATATTCCCTCCGCTGATGGGACCCGTTCCTTTTTTGTTCTGCGTTTTTCATTAAACTAAAACCTCTGCATAGCCCATTTATCCTCACCCCAGTGCGGTTACAGCCAGATGATTCATTTGTAGCTTTACATTTAGAACACTCTAACCAAACACCTGTGGTTGCACACACACAAACTCCAGCCTCAAAGAGATATTCTGAACCCAATAAACATGTTGCTTTTCCAAAAACCATAATCGACAGCAGGTGTGTCAGTGTGAGACTGTAGATCTTGGCGATTAATCATGTGTGCCGGTGTCCTCGCTAACAATCATCAAGACGAACCAAATCAGAGAGTATCTTTTCGCTTCAGAGCCGGCGCGTCAGCGGGAGAGCGGCGCGCAATCACGCCGAGACAAACAGCTTTCATAACTTCCCAGTAACAAACAATCACCGGGGCCTGAGCCCCCTATCCCAAATGAAATCTCCTCCACCTGTGTAGATGCAAAGGATACAAAGGAATCTTTAATTCTCCCCGTGGCCCGACGCAAGTCTCCATGGTGATGGGAGAGTCTCCATGGTGATGGAGACGTCGCTCTGAACATGGGAAGCGTTTTCATGTAAAAACAAGAGGATGGTTTTGTTTTTTACATTCATCATAGAAAACCCTAATGTTCACGGAGAGTATCTGCGGACGCCACGGCAACGGGAAAAAAACTGCTCCCAGGCCTGAGACGGCTCCCAACCAGTGTTTCAGCCGGGTTTTTGACAGATTGCGCTACCTGCCAGGAACACGCCAACAAACACAGTCTGCCAGCATCCTGGTACCAGAGGAGGCTGGAGCTAAAACGAGTGCTACATCCCTACATGTGTCTGTGCCGCATGTAGATTAAAAACTAATCTCATAACTCGCGTCGCTAACGTCGCTAACGTTCATCTCCCCCGGCAAAAAAAAAAGACAAGAGCTCTTCAGCTATATGTGCTCTGGTTTTTGGAATGTGGAAAAAACAAAATCCAAACATCGACTCTGAGGTTGTCAAACTGACGCCCGAACATGAAGTCGCTTTCAGTGTCGGAGTTCTGAGGAAATCCTTTCAACTTCGTGAGCATCAGGAGCCTCGTCGACAATGCCGTAGCATCAACACCTCACGAATGCCGTTCCCCACTTCACACAAAGCCCACCATCTAAGCACCCCGTCCGCCCACAACAACCTTCAAAGTGGCACTTCACAACGCGGAGGTCTAAGCACGATATTATGCGCGCCGAAATTATTCCGAGCCGATTCTGGGATGTGACCATTCTCCGGCTCTGATCTGTTGGAATAATTCACAGGGAGCCATCTCTGGACTTTTGATATGTAATTTAGCAGTCATCTGCAGACGTTTTTTCGTGTGCGAAATGAGAGCACAAACACAGACTGCTGGATCTGATGTTGGTAACAGGGACGTTTGCATAATTTCTTGCTGTTAAAAGGCGCCATCGGAACTCATTTATGTGTGAATGCGGTAGGGTGATTGATGTGGCTGTGCCTGGACATTAACCCCAGAAATAAGTTTAAATCTGAGGTGTGTCCCTTGTCCTCTACCGTCCCCAGGGGGTGGACTACGAGAGCCGGAGCTCCTACTCCTTCTCCGTGGAGGTGCTCAATCCGATCGTGGACCCCCGCTTCCTCCGTCGGGGACCCTTCAAAGACCGGGCCTCCATACGAGTCGCCGTCCTGGACGCCGACGAGCCGCCGAGGTTCTCCAGGTCCCGATACCACATGGATGTTTCTGAGAACTGCCCGCCCGCCTGCACCGTGGGCCGGGTCAGTGCCGTAGACCCGGACACCGGTCTGACCAACAATATCAGGTAAGGTACATTGCTCAGCATTTCAGCAGACGTTAGACTTGTTTAGTTGTTTGAATCCGACATGAATCAATTGCTTTGCCTTTCACTATGTCTGTAATCAAGCTTTCATTTTAAATCTGTGCAGTACAGACTAAGCAGATAATCCATTCCTTATTCTTTGTATTATTATCTTCGAACTTCAGCAGAATATGTTTTTTTAAAACAAGCAGCCAAAAGAAAGCCTTGAGCCACTTTCACTTGCAGGTTCTGAGCTTTTGCTTGAGTTTGCAGTCAGTTTTGGCATAAAAACATCACGAAGGGAGGTGATTGATTTCTCTCAAACAACCAAAGAAAGCCGTGTCCCCGTTAAAGGAAAGCGCACAGAAAAGCGTGTGTGTGTGGGGAGGAATGATAGCTGGTATTTTCACAGAGATATTTAGATAATCGGGCGCACTTCAAAAGAGATCCTATCTGCCGCGATAATCTCTATATTAATTCTTTGGCCATTTGAATGCAAGACTTCCTTATCACTCCTTCACACACTTGCCCTTTCTCCCCCGCGTTAAAACCCACAACGTTCCCTCTCTGGCTGCACTTTCTCTCCTGCAGGTTCTCCGTGGACCCCCAGTCGGACCCGGAGGCCCTGTTCCGTATCACGCCGGACACTGGCCTGCTGACCACGGCGGTGGAGCTGGACCGGGAGCGAGAGCACTGGCACAACATCACCGTCATCGCCACCCAGAGAGGTCAGATGCTCATTAGAGCTGGCCCACGAGATTATTTCTGTTATCGGAACGGTTTTCGTGAACCCGCGTCTCTGACACCTGCAGCCACGGACGATTAAGAGATTTAAGTGAGGGGAAACTGTACTTTGTGGCGCCTGAAAAGCGGAGGGTCCGGTGTGCGGCGCGGATTGCTAAGCCGCTTAGCTTTCAAGTCGTGGAGCCACGAGGGGAAATGCTGTTCAGAGGCCGAAACGATGCGTTCCAGCACCACCGACAATCAATTGATCTACACCGCGTTAGTTATCTGATGCTGGAATATAGATCCTTCCTCATTGGGACCTGAGTCAAATCACGGCATCAAAGCAACAAATCGAAAAGCAGCATAGCTTCACCGGCACCATGCCGTGGCCAACAGGAACTCATCTCAGATAAACCAATACCGTGTCAAAGGTCAAAAGCAGGAAGTCAGTTTGGGGATTGAACTGTAAATGTGAATCCTTTGGAAACATTGCCTTTTTCTCTGTACATGGCTAGCTTTGCTTTGGTCCTTAGCCAAATTCTATCAACGTTACAAATCAAAGAGGAATTATTTTTGGGGAAAAAAAGCATCTGGAGAGTTACAGTCAAATCATAGAGGCTAATATATGACGGGTATCTTTCTTCTATGATTCAGCTGCAAGATTTGGCTCAGAGAGATGTTACCCAGAATGGCTGTTTGGTGTGACTGGAAAATCCACGGTTTTCCTAGATTTGACTCTTCTTCCTCTTCCTATCGTCTCCCACAACCAACAGTACATTTCTTAGCAGTGATATTCTAACCGCAAAGGTCTCACTGCCCATATCCTCAAAATACCCACAGACTTTCTCCCTGGGAAAACTGACAATGCTTTGATAAAGTTCCTATTCCTTTTCTTCCTTATCTTGACAGCCTCCTGTTTTTGTTTGCTTTTTTTTTCTCATGACAAATACCATAAATAGATTACACCCAGTTATATAAGCCCTTTTTCTGTGTCTCTCATGTCAGCTGTAGAATACCTACCTGACAAGTAGCAGAAGGGAAATATGTCTCGTTTGAGCATGCGTCATCCTTATGCCTTTTTTGAGCTGACATTTGTGTGAGGTGACATCAAGGCAAACGTGTTCTCTCTGTAACCTGCCGACATTTTGCAGAAATACGTTTGACACTTTCTGGTTTGGTTTAATCAATAGCTTTATTTTGTTAAGGCTATCAGATGCTGGCGGTAAAAAAGAGAAATTACAGTCCTCCCTTCAGGGGCATGACTTTCAATTTTATTGCTTTGAGTTGAAATTAAATGTTTCTTAAACAACATATGAAATGTTTAAGGAAACAACATCAGGAGCCTCTATGCTCGTGTACAGGCGCCCCATAGGTTTGATTCCGGCTCATGGCCCATTATTGTGTGTCTCCTTCCACCTTCCTGCCCCATTCACTGCCAAATAAAGCCCTCCCGAGCCAACAAAACCTTTAGAAAAAAGAATAAAATCAAAGCTATGTGGGTAGGGATTGTAAAAAAATAATAATGGTGGAGACAAAAACAATTCCAACTTGTCTTGGAGAACATTTCACCCCCACACACAGTTGCTCTCACAACCCCTCAGAGGTCACCAAGAAAAGTTTGGATTGAATTATTGGCCGTATCGCTCCGCATGGACAAACACAACATGAAAACGTTGTGAGGACAGTGTCCAGCCCCACCCGTCCTCGTGTGCGCGTGCCTTTTTGTGCAGGCGTGGATGGATGGCGTGGTGCTGGTCAGCTGCTGGTTGGTCACAGTTTGGTGATCGCTGACCCGGAAAATAACAAGAGAGGGACCCAGAAGGGGGACACTTTTTCCTACTGGTTCTTTATGTGGATTTTGGTGTGACAGAGAAAGCCCAAACAAAATATGCTTTTAGTTTAATCTTAAGAAAATACTGTATTTATCGCAAACAGCCGAGCCTTGTGAATGTTTTCCCTTGTAAACAATACTTAAAAGGAGTAAATACCGTAGCATGGACTGCTGTTACATTTAATTTCTAACCACATTATAAATCTGACAGATTAAGAAAATTAATCTTATTAATGTAATATAAAGATAATTGTTACCTTGTAAGGAAGGGAAAGGCAGCACTTCTAAATATTCAAAATGACTGTTTAAACCTGACCTTCTCTGCTTTTCAAATTATTAATTTAAAATATGACTGCAAGCGATTTGATACTCAAAAGCAAACGGGGTACTATTGACTGAAGAATTAGTCGCTCATTTGAAGCTAAAGGCAGCTAATTAGCTCTTCCTGACTACAAATAATAGTAGTCTCTTTTCAACACGAGCAATAATCATCGGGTTTGGGTCCTGCCGAGATCCAGACTTCAACCACACTGGTAGCAGATCAGAAAACAGAAACACTCACACAAGTCACGTTATTAGTCAGAGCATTTTTTTTAAAGGCGCTAACAATCTGCTGAGGCCAGATGCCGGCTTACAGAACTCCCCTGCTCTACAAGTACCGGAACCACTGACAAACGAGACGTGTTTCTGTTGAGTGCGGGGGACATATTAAAATTAACACCAGATTGCAATTAAATGCTGGCCGAACTCCAGCAGCATTGTTGGCAGGTGACAAGTAATTAAGGCCCTAAAAAGAAAGCCTTCCAATTGTTCGTGCTTTTTTATTTATTTATTTATTTGTAAAAGTGAAGAGCATTGTTGGAGAACACCGCCCGCTGTGTGCAAGGAAGGAGGACTTGTTCTGCTGCCAAGTCTTGTTCTGGACAGAGTTGATCTTTACTGAAAATCTACTCGGGGGGGGGGGGGCTCCTGGTGGCACCGGGGTGTTGGTGGGACTGAGGATGCAGCCCAGCGAGTGTCTGTCCTGAATAATGAGCCCGATCTAATAAACAGACTGTGGGAGGTTGTGTTGACACAAACACGGCGGTGGGAGCCCTGCCATGACCACCGGCGGGCCCCTGCTCACCCGGTGGCGTTCCAACCAGAGGGTGGGGGGGGCAGCGGTTGTCATGGATGACACTATACTGGCGCGTTCTGGCTGAGAACACGGGTGTGGGAGTGTATGTTAATGAGTATGCAAATGTGTGTGTGCGTGTAGAACGAGCGGCGCTATCTGTCACTGGCTTGTCTGGGTTGTGTCAGAGCGGCCTAAAAATGTGCGAATGTTCCGGAGACTCAGAGTATGACTTCACGCATTTAAAGCATGACTGTGAGAACTTTTGTGTTTTCGAGCGTTTGCGCAGCCAAATGAGTGAGGTGCGGGGGAGCCGATGCCAATTCGTGCAATACGGCGCCCTCCCGGGAGTGTGTGCAGACGGCTCTCCACAACCTGTTCTGCCTATCTCCTCCCTCCTTTTGAGAGCAGACGCGCGCACACTTGACATTGTGAGGTGCTTTGGCTGACGACGCAGCACTTTGATGCGGGGAAATGCGGTTTTGTTCCAGCTGGGATCCTGTACCCTGCAACACCAGCCAAACCAAATCAAATGCCCCGGTGTTTATTTAGCCAAACGCAAAGCTGGCTCACGTCGTCTGAGAGTCGTTAAAGTTTCTGGACACGATCTCAAACGCTTGATTGTGCCCCTGAGCACAGTTAAAATGAATGAACAGGGGGAAATGTGTGGTGTACAGGAAATCCCATTCCTGTAGTTTTCTGTGTACAGGTGTTTGCATGTGCGTGTTGAAAGTCGTCTTTTTTTTTTACCACACTGAGATATTCTGCTCTCTCGTTCTCCCAGACAACCCCAGCCAAGTGTCCAGAGTTCTGGTGGCCATCGAGACGCTGGACCTGAACGACAACGCTCCTGAGCTGGACAGACAGTACACCACGGCCATGTGCGACTCCTCCTCCGTCGGACAGGTGAACTTCCACAGGAACGCCTTCCAAAATGTCCTTTAAATGCACCGCAATGAAAAACCAGACACACTGCCAGGGGAAGGGTTTTTTTTCCTTTTTTTTGCATATTGTTATCGGACTCATTTTAAATGGGGTAATGACAACATCAATCACGAAAAAGGAATACAGAAAACATAGTAATGGAAAAAAACAACAAATGGAAATATAGATATATCCACATCATAAATCCAGTTGTCCATGCACACAATATGAAGGGCATTTCCACAAAAAAAGCAGGAAAGTCTATATATTTACACACTGCCAAGGAGGAAAGACATCCGCATTTATTTTGACGAAGTCATTCCTGCTGAGTTTCAATTTAGTTTGGCTCATCAAGTCATTTGTCACTTTTTATTCAACTATTGCGTTTTCAACCCTCTACCTACATATGTGGACTCACTCATTCACATTCATTTAGTTAATTTCTTGTTAGACAAGAAAAATAACAATGCACGTCACCAATCTGACCCGTGTGGTATAGTAGTCCCTTGTAAAGCACCTGGTGGTTTGCCAAGAGACTGTTGAGCACATTAGAAATACAAAAGAGGTGGGGGGGGGGGGGTTCCACAAAAAAAAGCTAGGTTAAGCTATTTGTCCACAATCCTACAAAGGCTTGTGTTCAAATGACACCAGGCACTGCTCTTTACCTAGTTAATGACATCCTCAAATCAAGACTCGATCAAACATGGGGGTTGGTAGCATTTCTCCTGGCAGGTGGAGAAATAAGAATAGAAGAAAAAGATTCTAAAAAATATAGTTTAATAAAGACTGAGAGTCTTTTCCATAATGTAATAAGAAATGAGAGTCTTTTCCATAATATTTCCAAGAATCCTTTTAGCTGCCTTTGCTGCCAGATATGTTTTAACTCACTTAACGTATTGATAAAGATACATTTTAAGGCCATAAACATATCAAGATATGAGAAACTGGAAAACTGGAAACTGGAAAATGTCAAACTACTGTCAGAGAGTCCCAGCGTATATTCGTCTTATTTATTTGTTCCCTGATAGAGCAGAACCATAAAACACACGGCGACATGTCATAGGCTGTTCTACCTTTGCTCACACCTTAGAGGCAACTTCTCCGGGCTCCGCTCTGGCCCCGGCTCACTTTTTCAGCTCAGGTACTTTCAGGGGGTTGTCAGCAGTACTGAAGATTGCAATTTGTCAAGAAGTGCGAACAGAACTTAAGTCCTCACAGCGGCACGGTGTGTGTGTGTCTCCATACCCGGCACCGGTGGAGCATTATTGAGTATAGGTCAGCAGACCTCTGCTTGAACTCAATCCCAACACAGAGTCACTGCAGAGGCACACTTGGAAACAGGGAAACAGGCTTGTAGAAGGTGGGGGGGCTGCGGGGAAAACACAAGTGGGGGTTGATATAAATACGAGTGTATTTTCTGTGGTTTGGTATGGCACGTGGACCACGCAAGTTTGCATGAGAAGCTTTCCAACCTTATAATATGAAAATATGAAATACCCACTTTGACCCACAATTTTCCCATTTTGTTTATATATTCAAGAATGATTATTTTTTCCCACGCTTCTTCCTGCTGTGATGCAGCTTTTGTGTTGCTTCTAGTTGAAGGTTTTCCCACAACTCGATATATGATGATGGCGGTGATTCCTCTGTGGCTTTGTTAAAACCTGGCACTGTCGACTAGACCAAGGATGCTTTAAAAGGAGGAAAAAGGATCTGTTACAAGACATTACTTGACTTTAGAGCTAAAAATAAAGGCCAGTCCTAAGACTGCTGCTGCACAGTGTTTTCCACAGTTCTTTTTCTTGGTTTCACATGTGGTCACAAGTCCCTATCACCTGTTTTCTGGTGTGACCGGACATGGTTTTGACACTGTTCATGTGATGGAGTGGAACCCTTCTAATCCTATACACTTTTGTGAATGCGAGTGCTTTGATACCTGCCTTCATTAGACACAGAAAAGGGATCCCTTTTTTTTTTTTCCATCCATCCATCCATTCTCCTCCGCTTATCCGGGGTCGGGTCGCGGGGGCAGCAGCCGGAGCAGGGGGACCCAGACTTCCCTCTCCCCGGCCACTTCGGCCAGCTCCTCCGGGGGGATCCCGAGGCGTTCCCAGGCCAGCCGGGACACATAGTCCCTCCAGCGGGTCCTGGGTCTTCCTCTGGGCCTTCTCCCGGTGGGACGAGCCCGGAACACCTCCCCAGGGAGGCGACCAGGAGGCATCCTGATCAGATGCCCGAGCCACCTCAACTGGCTCCTCTCCACGTGGAGGAGCAGCGGCTCTACTCCGAGCCCCTCCCGGATGGCCGAGCTTCTCACCCTATCTCTAAGGGAGAGCCCAGCCACCCTGCGGAGGAAACTCATTTCGGCCGCTTGTATCCGCGATCTCGTTCTTTCGGTCACTACCCAAAGTTCGTGGCCATAGACGAGGGTGGGAACGTAGATCGACCGATAAATTGAGAGCTTCGCCTTTAGGCTCAGCTCTCTCTTCATCACGACAGACCGGTACAGCGCCCGCATTACTGCAGACGCCGCACCGATCCGCCTATCGATCTCACGCTCCCTACCCCCATTCGCAAACAAGACCCCGAGATACTTGAACTCCTCCACTTGGGGAAGGACGTCCGCTCCGACCCGGAGAAGGCACTCTACCCTTTTCCGGTGAGAGACCATGGTCTCGGACTTGGAGGCACTGATCCTCATCCCAGCCGCTTCGCACTCGGCTGCAAACCGCTCCAGTGAGAGCTGTAGGTCCCGACTTGATGGAGCCAACAGGACCACATCATCTGCAAAAAGCAGAGATGCGACCCTAAGGCCACCAAGACTGACACCCTCAACACCTCGGCTGCGCCTAGAAATCCTGTCCATAAAAGTTATGAACAGGACCGGAGACATAGGGCAACCTTGGCGGAGTCCAACTCCCACCGGAAACGAGTCCGACTTACTACCGGCAATGCGAACCAGACTCTGACTCCGGTCGTACAGGGACCGAACAGCCCGTAACAAGGGGCCAGGTACCCCATACTCCCGGAGCACCCCCCACAGGATACCCCGAGGGACACGGTCGAACGCCTTCTCCAAGTCCACAAAACACATGTGGACTGGTTGAGCGAACTCCCATGCACCCTCTAGGACCCCGCTGAGGGTATAGAGCTGGTCCAGCGTTCCACGGCCAGGACGAAAACCACCCTGCTCCTCCTCGATCCGAGGCTCGACTATCCGACGGACCCTCCTCTCCAGAACCGCTGAATAGACCTTCCCAGGGAGGCTTAAGAGTGTGATCCCCCTATAGTTGGAACACACCCTTCGGTCCCCCTTTTTAAATAGGGGGACCACCACCCCAGTCTGCCAATCCAGCGGGACTGCCCCTGATGTCCACGCGATGTTGCAGAGTCGCGTTAGCCAACGCAGCCCCACAACATCCAAAGCCTTAAGGAACTCCGGCCGGATCTCATCCACCCCCGGGGCCTTGCCACCGCGGAGCTTTTTGACTGCCTCGGTGACTTCAGCCCCGGAGATTAGAGATCCTAACTCCGGATCCCCAGGCTCTGCCCCTCCAACGGAGGACGCGCCAGTGGGATTGAGGAGGTCCTCGAAGTACTCCGCCCACCGACCCACAACGTCACGAGTTGAGGTCAACAGCACACCATCCCCACTGTAAACAGTGTTGGTGGGGCACTGCTTCCCCCCCCTGAGACGCCGGATGGTGGACCAGAATCGCCTCGAGGCCGTACGGAAGTCTTTTTCCATGGCCTCCCCAAACTCCTCCCACGCCCGGGTTTTTGCCTCGGCGACCACCCGAGCCGCACGTCGCTTGGACTGCCGGTACCCATCGGCTGCCTCCGGAGTCCCACAGGCCAAAAAGGCCCGATAGGACTCCTTCTTCAGCCTGACGGCATCCCTCACCGCCGGTGTCCACCAGCGGGTTCGAGGGTTGCCGCCACGACAGGCACCGACAGCCCTGCAACCGCAGCTCTGGGAGGCCGCGTCATTGATGGAGGCGCGGAACACGGCCCACTCGGACTCAATGTCCCCCGCCTCCCCCGGAACGTGTTCGAAGCTCTCCCGGAGGTGGGAGTTAAAGCTCCGCCTAACAGGGGACTCCGCCAGGCGCTCCCAGCAGACCCTCACAACACGTTTGGGCCTCCCGGGTCTCACCGGCATCCTCCCCCGCCATCGGAGCCAACTCACCACCAGGTAGTGGTCGGTGGAAAGCTCCGCCCCCCTCTTGACCCGAGTGTCCAAAACATGCGGCCGCAGATCAGCTGAAACGACAACAAAGTCGATCATTGAACTGCGGCCTAGAGTGTCCTGGTGCCAGGTGCACATATGGACACTCTTATGTTTGAACATGGTGTTCGTTATGGACAATCCGTGCCGAGCACAGAAGTCCAAAAACAGAACACCGCTCGGGTTCAAGCTGGGGGGGCCATTCCTCCCAACCACGCCCCTCCAGGTCCCACTGTCGTTGCCCACGTGAGCGTTGAAGTCCCCCAGCAAAACGAGGGAGTCCCCAGGGGGGGCACCCTCCAGTACCCCCTCTAAGGACTCCAAAAAGGGTGGGTACTCTGTGCTGCCGCTAGGCGCATAGGCACAAACGACAGTCAGGACCCGTCCCCCCACCCGAAGGCGAAGGGATGCTACCCTCTCGCTCACTGGGGTAAACCCCAACGTACAGGCACCGAGATGGGGGGCAATGAGTATGCCCACTCCTGCTCGGCGCCTCTCACCGGGGGCAACTCCAGAGTAGCAAAGCGTCCAACCCCTCTCAAGAAGGCTGGTTCCAGAGCCAGAGCTGTGTGTCGAGGCGAGACCGACGATGTCCAGCCGGAATCTCTCCGCCTCGCACACTAACTCAGGCTCCTTCCCCGCCAGAGAGGTGACGTTCCACGTCCCTAGAGCCAGCTTCTGCAGCCGGGGATCAGTCCGCCAAGATCCCCGACTCCGGCCGCCGCCCAGGGCACAGCGCACCCGACCCCTATGGCCCCTCCCACGGGTGGTGGGCCCGTGTGAAGGGGGACCCATGTAACCTTTTCGGGCTGGGCCCGGCCGGGCCCCATGGGTGAAGGCCCGGCCACCAGGCGCTCGCCATGGTGCCCCACCCCTGGGCCTGGCTCCAGGGGGGGGCCCCGGTAGCCCGCGCCCGGGCGAGGGTACACGAAGTCCATTTTCCTTTTTCATCATAAGGGGTCTTCTGGGCTGCGCTTCGTCTGATCCCTCACCTAGGACCTGTTTGCCTTGGGTGACCCTACCAGGGGCTTGAAGCCCCGGACAACATAGCTCCTAGGATCACTGGGACACTCAAACCCCTCCACCACGATAAGGTGGCAGCCCAGGGAGGGGCCTTTTTTTTTTTTCTTTTTAATAATGTGTTTTATGACTGAATGCTTGCGAAACCACCAGAGCCTCTCTTGGTGGTTTTGTGCTAATTAGCATATGTAAACAAGCTTGTTAAAGTGAGGTTTTGAACACGGGGAGCGGCACACCAGCGCGTCCCGGTGAGGACGTGCACGTCGGAACACGCTGGGTTCCTTTTCGATGTCGTGCTCGTTTACTCAGCCGGACAAATTAGACTGAGGTTGTGAATCAGAAACACAGTTAGTGCTGGAGCTTCTGTAATTGAGACTCCAGGTACTGACAACCAGCCCATTTAAATAAGGACCAAAGAAAAGGTGCCGCTTTTTTTTTTTATTACCCAAACAGAAGTGATAGGCCCGACTTTCTAGGAGTTACATTTTTTTTTAAATGAATTATGTATATTATTTTTTCTTTAATTTTTCTTTTATATATTCAATTAGAATTTTTTAGATACCATCAATTGTTCTGGGGATGTGCAAATCATTGCCTTCTTTTTTCAAGCACAATGCTCAAGTTTTTTTTTTTTCCAGTTGGGGCTGAAAGATGCCATAAATGCTGGTACAATCTGCTGTAAACCAATTACCACGAGGTTTAGTAAACCCTACAGTGGGGTGGATTTGAATACGCTCTTCACAAAATTTTGCATTCTGAAAGGTAAACATCCGCAGATATTTTTGCTGATAAATCTCTGTGTCCACATCTTTTGGATGAGAGTATTCCACTGCACCTCTACAGCAAATCACAACATTAACTCTATGATGCCGAAACAGAGTTTGAGCCAGTAAATGTGGCCCCCATACTGTGTTGGCACTGACATAAACAAACAGGAAAAAAAAAAACTCAAGATATATTTGGATTAAAGCTCCTTACATGTCAGACGAAGTACACAAACATTATGCTCTGTGATCATGTACAACAAATCACAGAAGCCCAACACAAATCTGTAAACACATCATTACTGTATGCTGCCAGAGAGAAACCAGCCATAAATCTGCTATTTTCAAACAGAAATTCTTTTGCACAGAGCCAAACTTACGAAAAGTTTTCATCCCAACGTGGAAATAAGAAGACAAAACAGTGAATGCTCTGGTATGGGAGTGTGTAAGGCACTGTTGTACAAGGCTGTATCTTTACTGCAGACACATTCATTATGGAGGTAGTTGAATCCTACATGGTCCGTTATCAGGAAGTACCAGCTACTCTCATTGTAATTAAACTCGAGCATCCTCTCAGAATGTCTCCTTCCTTCACGCTTTATTTGTCTTGTCTATTTTTCTGCATCACGGTTTGCTTACTTGTTCTCATCTCAATTATAAAAATCATCTCTTTGCTCTTCAGCGTCTCCCTGGAAGCAACTCTTTCCTTCCGCTGTTTTTACCCCCCTGCCCCCCCCGTCCCCACCCTCTCCTCCATCTTCAGTATTCCATGCTGGCTCCGCCGTTGTAATTTGGTGACTTGGCCCATCTGTTGTTTTCGCTCGGCTCGAGTCTTTGTTGTTTCGCCACTAAATCTGTGATTCTGTCACGACGGTCGTTGATTTGTTCTCGCTCCGTGAGGCCGGCCTCGTCTGAGCGAGCGGGATCGTCTTCCACCGGGCGCCACGTCACAGTCTGACACGCCAACAGCCAGAAAGGCCTTTGAATATTCACAGAACATGCCCCCCCCTCCTTATCCCCACATTCAGCACTCGAGAGCAGTCCTGTGAAAGAGCATCCGGCGTAATGACAGCCAGAGATTTCCATTCAAATGAAATTACCCATCAGCATATGGCTGCGGGAGATTCAGTTAAGATTAATTTTCTTATCATTGCCTCTGAAGATGCTATTACTAAATTGAAAGCCGCACTTGGCTGTATTTTGCGAGAGTCTACTGGCGTCAGACGCGGTTTATTTATGTGGTGTGAGGATCAGACACAGTTCACGTGTGTCGAAAATGCTAATTGGCTTGTTTTGATTCCTTCCAAAAGTTGGCTCCTGGTTTTGTTACCGAGAGCGCTCCGTGCACAGGTGTCTTTTTCCTTCCTTTCATTTTCTTTTCTCACCTCATTTCGTGCGTCCTTTTTATACACAGCCCCCCCATACACACACACACACACCTTTACTGAGAGTCTTCCTCCCTATCGCTGTGTTTCAGGTGGTGCAGGTGCTGCGGGCGATTGATCGAGACGAGGGAGGGAACGACAGCACGGTGTATTTCAGCATCCCTCCAGAATCCCGCGCCGCCCTTAACTTCAGCGTCAGAGACAGTGGTGGTGGGTACCCAGCCTGTTCCCTCTCTAGATTTTCCATAATTAGTCTTTTTTTTAAATTTTATTATCTCTCAGACATTGTTTTCCCTCCACTATTAAGAGCCTGAGTTCATTTCCTCCCTGCCTTCTCCCCTCTCGTCCCTTTGTTTTGTTCTATTCTCTCATCTTTTACCTCTCAAACCCTCAGCCTCTTCTCACTTGTTCTCTTTTTTGTCTTTCTCTTCATCCATCAATCTCCCCACTCCGGTGGCTCCATTGTTTTTGCTTGGTTATCCTTCTCTCTTTCCTTCATCCCTCTGGTTTGCCTTCACGCGTCCCCTGCCTGCCTGTCTGTTCCCCGCCCCCCGCTGCTGGGTACAGTCACGAAAAAGCTTTTTAAGAAATCAGAGCTGCTTCATTTAATTCTCTTCACCTCAATTGAATTTAGCGACTTAGTAGTTCTGTTGAACAAGATTACCTTTTATAGTCATAGCAAAGAACAGGCAGTCTGTTTTTTACTTCCAAGACATATCATGATGAAAACTAATGAGGGGTTACTAGTTCTTAGACTTTGAAAAATGCATCTTCAGAAGAAAAAAAACACTTTGTTATATTTATATATATATATAAAACTAAGCAGCAATAAAAAAGTTGTGTGAAGAAATAAGAACACGTTTACTGCTTTAATATTGTTAGGAAGTGAAGGGTTTCCGGAAGAGTCTTTTCTCTGACAGAAAAATGGCAACACAGATTTGGTTGATAAACTTTCATCTGGTCACAACCACAAGACGTCCTTTCGGACAGACGAGACCAAACTGGAGTTGTTTGTTCAAAATGCACAGGAGCATGTTTGGAGAAATCCGAATCCAAACACCTACAGATACCAGCTGTAAGGCACGGTGGTGGGAGGCTGATGATTGGGGCTTGTCCTGCAGCCACAGGACCTGGAGACCCTGCCGACATGGAGTCCATCGTGAACTCCTCCAAGAGTCAAACACATTCAGGCACGCTGGTCTGCGTAGCATAGCATGAATCTGAATAATAATTTAAAGAAAGTATGTCCCACATACTTCAGGAGGTCGTTCCAGCCAACACCATTAATCATCCTCAATGTTTATGAAAAATAATATTAGCATTATGTCAACATTCTGAATTCCCTTTGGGATAAATTAAGCGTTTGCAAATATCTTCCTTTTCAGGCCACAGGCAGATGAAAAAAATGTCACTACAACAGTATTTATTTAGATTTGTGTAGTCTTGGTCGCACGCTGGAATTTATTTACTGAGTTCGCAGCTATCAAGTACATTGGCAAACGGACTGAGAGGCAATCAAACTTCAAACTTGTAATTGTAATAGAGAAAATGTTCCCATGAGAAATTACAGTGTTTCTGCAGAATTACAAGCCGGCCACAAAACCCAAAACCTCCCGTTTCCCCACCTCATTTTTATTCTCGCGGTAAGCAGCTAATAAAAATGTAGAGCTTCTCCAGAATATCAGTCCGCCACGAGCCCTCCACCCATGGAGTTCTTGATTAGTTCCAGCTCAGCTCTCTATGAAACTGTAGATGTCATGTTTGAGAAGGGCCGTCGCCGTCTCCGCTACATTTCCGCCGCGTCCCGCGGGGAGCTAGCTCGCCGTCATTTTCTCATAGAACCGGTGAAGCCGGCCCTTCAACTGGAGGACGGCCACTTCACTTCCTGTTTTACAGCCTCCAAAAGATGCCCGTTGGTTCAGAAGTGGACCTTTCCCTTCATCTTCAACTTTAAAATCTGAGAATAGCTCATGCTAGGCGATAGCAGTGCCAGCCCGGTCCATTATTGTTAGCACCACAGGTCCATCCAATCACTCAAAATCATTCCACAGAATTTTGTTTTGTTTTTTGGGTCATTTCTTGGCCCAATCTTAACATCTCAGTTTGAGTCCTAGGCAGGCAGTGGGCTAAACAGGTCTCAGATGGCAAATATAGTGTTTTCAGAGGATAAATGCACCCATTTCTTTTTGCTGCAGGGACCTTGCTTTGTAAATTTTGCACCCTTGTGGACCATTTGCGAATATCTGATCATCAGGGAGTCGGAGTGCAGTAAATATTGAGAGTGTTAAAATGAATTTTCTCTGTTACACATCCAGCAGCCCCCCAGGCTGTTGGACGTTCTTTTGAAGTCTTGTTTGTTTTCAGCCACCTACTCGTGCCACCTGAACTAGCTGTTTGCTCGGCGTTCATGCTGGGCTTAGCTTTTTTGTTGTTGTTTGTTTAGTCTCCAGCAGCCTCTGAGGTACAGAACCTTTATCAGCAAGTGTCAAGGAGCATACATAACCTCCACGTTGTGTGCTGGAAAACTGTGTAGCTGTAAAACTGTGTTACTAATCTGTGGAGGTTCAGTAGCATAAATGACACCTTGAAACAAAACATTTAACAAAGGCCTTAGAGACGCGTCTATACCTTCTGCTGATCCATCTCCTGTTGGCCCAAGCCTCATCAGAAATGCTCTCCATGGAAGGGTAGCTGTCAAGAAGCCATTCTGAAGTGAAATGAAATGAAAAAGTGGATTAAAAATGAGTCCCAACAGATTTTATGGAGGGATGAATCCTCCCCAGATCCTGGACCCCAACATTATTGAAACTTACATTATTAAAACTAGCTCCTTTTAGTTCATGTTCGGTATTTCCATTTATGTTAGTGGATTTTAATAAATTGATTAACCAATTTCGACTTTTTCTTGGAATGTATAAAGAACTCAGGGGTGGCTAAAGACTCTTTCGCACTGAATAAATTAGTTATCGATTTGTACAAAGCATCGATTTGTGCAGATTTAAGTAAGTTCCTCAGTTCATGAAATATTAAAAAGTGCACAGTCTGCCCTTTGGATCCAAACTGCGTGCATGCTTTACTGTTTAAGTATACGATTGCTTTGCCTTAGCATCAGAGATAAATGTCCCATTTCAAACCTAAGTACCAAGCAATTTAGTCCAATTTAAATGAATATTTCAGAAACCTACGATATAGCTAGAACTTAAAAAACAAAACAAAAACATTTATATAAAAATATATATACTGTATATATACATATTTAGATAGATATAGGTATACCGCAGTAGTCCTGTTTCCATCTTCACAGATGTGTGCCTCTAAAAACTTCTTCATTACCATATTTCACATTTCCTCACTGCTGTTGAGGTATCTGGCCGGACATTGCATGACATTTGAAGTTTTGAGGCTTTTTCCCCCCTCAGCTCCGTACAGATCCTGTAATCCCGCTGAATTTAAGTGCAAGCTGATAAGCAGGACATCTGGGTTTTCTTAGGACTCCCGTGCGGAGTCAAAGCTGCAGAGATTCTTGAATAGTCGTCCCATGATTGGAACACGCTACTGGATCACTGAACAGGATGATAAGCTCTCTGACATGTGGTATCAAAGGCCTTTTTGATGTGTCAGCCAGCGGTGGAACAGAGGAACAATAAGATCACACTCTGTTCCCTTATGGACAGCCTGTCACAAAAACAGTCGACAGTGTTTGCTTTGTTGCAGAAGATAATGATTTGATCTGCGCTTTGGATCACAGAAGAATTTCTAGATAATCACTTTTGTCATGTCGCTACAACTTTGCAGTGCGGCTCATGGTTTTTTAACGCATCCAGGCCTCTTGATGGTGGCATTGTTTTTGTTATCTTCAGCATTTGATTTAGACGCAGAGCTCAAACGCAGTTGTTCTATTAGACTTTTGCTATGAAACTATCATTTTTCTGCTCTCTTTTTCCAAGTTATCTCACAGGAACCATTAAGTAGACATTACAACATTTCAACATAATTTATTGATAAGATATCTGATGGATTTTAGTGATGAAAACAAGGATATTTGAAAATGCAAAGCTTCGCACGGCCATTTGTAGCACCTATTTAATGGCCCTGACGGGCACTCAGAGATCTCTGTACTGAATAGCACCCAGGGCAAATGGATATAAATAGCAGTATACACTGTAAAATGCTTGGGTTTAATAACTTTGTGTGTGGAGTTATATCAAACTATTTGTTTAAAGTTTTCAGCCAGTCGGGGGCCATGAATTATGAAGCGTGGCTCCAGCTGAGGACTCATCCTGTTAGCTCTGATTAGTGTTATTGGGACTCTTGTTTGAAACACTGTGGCTTCACTGCCAGGAAAAGTCCGCAAATTTTGAAATGAGTTTTGAAAGTACTCTGTAAAAAAAAAGGAAAAAAATGAGAAAGCTGAGGTAAGCAGAGTCAGACATTTCTGCCTGCTGTGTTTTTTTTTGGTGCTGTGAATCCATCATTAGCTTTAAATTTACCTCAGGGTGCCATTTTTAAATAGCCAGTGTAAAAATAAATTAAAAAAAGAAACAGGCAAAAGTAGTCAGTAGGCATGTGGTTATTGGTTGATAAATAATCAGAGATGTTTAAAGTACTGGAGTAGAGGAGTGGAGTAGAATTACAAGTACTATGTAAAAAGATTTACTTGAGTAAAAGTAGAAGTATTCTTTCAACACCATACTTAAGTGGAAGTATTTTTTTTGTACTTAAGTATTGCAAGTAGAAGTATTAAAAAAATTGCTACTCAAGTATCGAAAGTACAAGTATAAGTAAAAGTACAAGTACTGTGTATAATCTGCATTAGCAATCAACAGCACTTAATCTACTATTATCTATTATTCCAGAGTCAGAATCCTGAGCTGAGCCTTTATGCTAGCAATGTAGCATACAGCTAGCCAGCTAGCTTGGCTTCAGCTAACGTTAGCTGCTACGTCCTGAGTGAACAGGGAGAACTGAACTAGCGCTTATTTATTAGCTTATATTTCATTGTATTTTTTAATTTAGCTTGATATGCGTCTTCAGATTAGATGGGGAATTTTTTAAGGCTATAATTAACCATCTTTCTTCTTTGCTTCCCAAACCGGAACTGAGCTATCTCTCATTACGTTTACATATCAGTAACGAGTAAAGATTCAGCCCGTGCAAAATCGATCGGAGTAAAAGTATTGAAATAATCAAGAATATGTAGTGGAGTAAAAGTAAAAGTAGGGGAAAAAAATATCTACTCCAATAAAATACAGATACTGCATTTTGGTACTTAAGTACAGTACTTAAGTAGTTCTACTTCGTTACTGAACACCTCTGTAAATAATACATTTCCTCCTCCCCCCCCCTCAGGCCCGACGGCCAGCCTGGTGCTGCTGTCCCATCTCCAGCCGCTGTCCCGCTCCCAGGCCTCCACCCTCACGCTCTACGTGCCGCTGGTCCTGAGGGACGGCACGTCGGGCCTGACCAGCACGGGGACGGTCACCGTGTCCGTCTGCCCCTGCCTGAGGGGGGGGGGCGCGGGCCGGGGAGAAGGACAGGGACAAGCAGGCGGAGGGGGAGTGGGACTGGGAGAAAGAGGCGGTGTGTCTTCCCCAGCAGTCCTCGCTGCCCTCCCCCGGGCTCAGCACCGCTGCCCTGCTGGCCATCCTGGCCTGCGTCGCCACGCTGCTGGGTAAGAGCCTTCATTACGATGTTGTTTGAAGATGAAGTCTGATATTAAGATGATAGCACCATCAGCAGCTCCCATCTTGTGTATAATCTTGCTTAAAACCAGCACATTCCACGATCTATACAGAGCTGCTATATCATTAGGATTTGCTGCCTGGAAAGGAAATGAATGCTAATCTACAAATAAAAACTTGAGTAAATAGTGTTTAGGGCTATTTACTCTCCACTACACGCCCGGATGCTTGATCTGCATATGAAAAATAATGAATAAGGCGGCAGAAATATTTTCTCTTAGTCACAGCTGCTTAATAGCCGGGTTTGCTTTCCTCTCTCGGCTTAAGCCCGGTTATTACCTCGGGGCGAGGTCAGCCCCCTAATCGCTGCTAAAGTAACACTTCCGAGTGTTTTTTTCTGGCGACTCGGATTTTGCGATAGCGGCTTAATAAAATGTCAGTGCCACGTTTGCAGGGAGGTTGCATAACGTGGAGTTTGCTGGAAAGGCTTTTGGCTTACGGCCAGCGTCATCGTCATTTCCATCCAGTCTGCCGGATGGCCACTCATGCCTTGTTGATTTAGGCATTATCATTCTGGAGGAAGCCAGTTCAATCAAAGCCGAAGTGGGACACGGCGTGAAGGTGATTGCGCATGATGGATTTGAGAATTTAGTGTTTTAAGTGACAAGAGTGGGAGCCACACTCTGGAAAGTTTGCAGAGGCAGGATGGAGCTCCAGAGCCACATAACCGTAGCTTTCACCACCAAAAGCTCCACCAGGGCCCCGTCTGCTTGTTTTAAAGGGGGCTCTGCACGCATAAAACATTTGGTAACCACTTGTGCCTCATGGATATAGGCTTGGTTAAGTGAGAAATCATGCACATCATGACATTAAGATGATCCCGCTAACTGTTATGGATGGTTAGAATTTCCCCCTGCTTTCAGGGATCATTGGATTATTTCCGCGGAAATCAAATAACGCAACCTTCAACAATATCATGGCGGTAGATTAACTTACTACATCAGCTTAACCACCTACCGCACACCCACAGGGAGGCACAACACAAATGCACACAAAGGTGATCTAATAATTTGCCTAATGTCTAATCATCACGGAGAAACGCAGCCGAACCGACACAATGCGGACACTAAAGGAAACATTTCCAAAGATGAGAGTATTATCGGTGCTAGGTCAAAACTAAGGGAAAATCATGAAAGATAATATTAAATGCAACTAGCCTGACAATCTCCCCTCTTTTCCTCTTGTCTTTTATTCTGTGTAAATCCATTTAAGTTTTTCAGCTGTAGTTATGTGAAAAAGGAAGCGTACCCTGTTTCTATTCTAAGTTTTCACATATCAGAGACTGATAAAAAATCAGTTATTCCTTGCAGGTCTTAAAATGAGGTAAATTACAACCTCAAATGAACAACAGTACATGATCCATTCCATTGTGTTAGTATTCATTTAGTAAAAACAAAGCTGAAATTCAGAGTCAGTTTGGGAATAACTAATCTGGCCCCACGAGTCAGCAGCACACAGAGCCACGTTTAGCAAAAACACTGAAGGACTGAAATGTTTTGTGTGTGATACTTTCAACATTTTGGACCCTTTTTTAAATACATGGCATCAGTTTATTGAGGTTTGGAGGCAGAGGGATCACACCAAAGAATTTCAGTAAGATTGATGCTCCAACTCGGTTAGTTTGGAATATCTAAAAGTGTGTGTGCTTACATAGTTCCAGCATTTTTATTTAGCTTTAATGATGAGAGGATTTCAGTGAAGTGAAAACCCTTTCACAAAAACTATTTAGACTCTTTTCAAAGAGGCAAATAAAGGCATCTCCAGCATTTGTTCGGGGCTGCATTTTTCTTCTATCAATGAGGTGTTGTTGAGATAAAAAGTGATTTTCAAGTATCTGAGGTATTTTTCTATTTCTTTTCTTCTTTTTTGGTGTAAATTCTCAGCCGTTGTTATTCTAAACTGTACGTGTCATGCTGGAATGTACAGACTGACAGACGCATCTGCAGCAAAAACAAAAGACGAGACGCCGTAAGTGTCTCAGAAGTTTATCGGAAGGATTCAACTTTTGGTGCAGGAAATGGGTTCCTTAAATACTTCATGCACATCCTTTCCCGTTCAGCTATCATTGGGTCTATTTTAGGGTGCATCCTGAATCTTTGAGTTGACTTCTACACTCAAATGTTCACGGGATGATAAACGAGAGGAAAAAAAACAGGATAAAATAATTGGTGGAACTCAAATGAAGAGGTTTCCTCACATGGGAGCAGTACAGTCATTATCTCTATTTTTCTTTGACGACAAGAAAAGTTTCGAAATGAAGTTTTATTGGATTCAATTGGAGGAATTTAAGTGGACGAGGTGCTCAAAAGTTCACCGGCCATCTCATTTTGGTTTGGCTTTCACTTGTCACCCAATGGGTCCTTCACAGACTAATGTTCTGCTTCTGCCCCTGACAGCTCCTGTATATTAGTGCACGAGCACAATAAGTGATATGTTGTCCTTCCGGGGAGGGTTTTCGGCAGCAGGTGGGGCCTTCAGCGTGTTGAATGCGTGTCAGTGAGCTTTGACAGTTTTGCTCATTACCGCAGCTCAGGGGTCAAATGAAGCTCTCTGCTTTTGCGAGTATAGAATAAAGAGTCACGGCATCACGAGAGAATAAGTCATCCGTTTTCCCCGGCTGGAGCTCAAAAGTCAATTACAGAGTGGAGGCATGCAGCCCGCTGATATGATATACCAGCCCTCTAACCTGGGGCCTCTCCTGGATTTTGCTTTGTCTTCGCGTTCCACCTCTTTGTCTCCCCGCGCATTCCTCATTCTCTCCTCCACCTTTTCCTCTCCTTTATTTCCCCTGCGACTCCTGGCCCCTTTCTCCAATTGTTCATCATTCTTTTTCCGGCAGCGGTGAGCGCCCTGTCCCTGTCTCTGCGCCGGCAGAAGCGCGACGCCCTGTCGCCGCTGGAGGAGGACGACGTGCGCGAGAACATCATCACCTACGACGACGAGGGCGGGGGGGAGGCCGACACGGCCGCCTTCGACATCGCCGCCCTCCAGAGCGCCCCCCACAGCTCGCGCTCACGTGGATACCGCACTCTAGACAGCAGGAACATGTAAGCAGGCAGACGCTGTGTGTGGGAGTGTGTGTGTGTGTGTGGGGGGGGGTTTCTTTACATGTGCCGGCACATGTTTCATTCCATCAAACCCCTCAAGCACTTGCATGTTAAAAAGAATACTGAAAAAAAAAACCCGTCGGAATTAAGGCTTTCATCACGGCTCGGCTCTGAACCGATCCGTTTAAGGAACGGATCGAGCCACAACTCCCAGGCCAAAATCTGTCACCGATCAAAATATCGAAAGGGAAAGCTATCAAGCTCGGCAGTCCCGGGAGAGCGCTTTGTTGTGTTCAAAGCTCATTTACGTTGGGTTACATCAGAGAGTTGTTTCCAGCCACTTTGATGTGTCTGCGGAGCCCTGTTATTTGCCTTCGGATTAATCATTAGCCACCAAATTCACGCGCGCTGTACTGGAGAGGCCATAAACAAAGTACAAAGGCCGCCTGTAGTTTATCGAAAATTGCCGCTCACAATTCATGTAGGTGGACAGAAGAGCGTGAGGAAAACCTGCTACGGCTAATGCAATCCGGTGCAATGCCCCTGCAATAATCCTGCCTTTGTGCAACTTTTCTGCGTTTCCTTTTTGTTGACGCGCCGTCACAGAGAAGTTGACTGTAAAACTTTATGGAAACTGTAAAGCTGTCGATTTTTCATTGTGGGTGAAAATTGAAACCTGCTTAAAATAAGTTTGCAATGCCTTCTTCATACAAAAAAAAAAGAACCCTTGTAACTGTATCCAGAAGCTGCAAAAGAAGAAAATTGCATATGATCACAGGTCAGAGTAAATTAACAGTACGTCTCTGATTCGTTATTTTTTCACTTGTTTCCTATAAATATGAACAGTACCTGATCAGGATACGTTGCAAATGAATTAGAGAGCTGTCAGCTGAAACGGGACCTGGAACTTCAAACGCATTGCTGCCTACACCGAGCTGTGACACACACAATTAACCGTGTTTTTTATGTCAGCTCTATCTAATTAGGCCATCGCAGATTAGATGAGAAGCTCCTTTTCAAGATTAAAGAGTCGTGCAAAAAAATCCCGGCGTTTGTGCACCAAAAGAAATATCTAGGGTTAAGTAATTACTGAAGTTCCAAGACGCACGTCAGACGGATTATAAGAACATCTGTAAGCATCAGATTAATAACAGACGGCTTTTATACTGCAGCTGGGAGGAAACACCATCCAGTTCTTTGACAAAGAAATAAAACAGTCATGAGTGCTAGATCTGCTATTTGTAGTAAAGCAAAAGGTTATTAAAGGGGCAGAATAAAACAGATATGTAGTCAGATGTTTTACAGCTTCAGTGGAAGAAATCTTCTTTGATTGTTAAATTTAGAATCAGTTGTTCAATATCCTCCTGAGACCCGGCCCATTCATTTATGTCCATTATAGTGGACATTTTGTCCACCTGTATCCCCCTTAAGTATCTGAATTTACCCTATCAAGCCCTATAGTGTTCTGTAGAGGACATCCTGGGCTTTCCAGTGATGTGCCATGTGATAGGTTTGCATGCTGGGAACATTTTCTTTTTATTATTTAATTATCTAAAGCCTGTTCTATTTTCCCATGCAAATCGTCCTGTTGTCCTCCACAGTGGACATGCTATGAAATTAAAATTAAAAATATTTTTTTTCAAAATTAAATTGTAATGTTCTTTTTTAGGTCCAAATACATGGAAAATCACAACAAAAAAGAAATTTGAAGACGCTTTTTTTCTTTGGTTCTCAGGAGGATATGAATATTGGACTTTAAAATAAGATAGTTGACAGGTCAGTGTTTCTTGGGTTTTTTAAAGAGCAGATAGTGTCGAAGTAAAAGCCACAAATATGGCGGAGGATCATGACTGTGACTCATTCTGTGTTCCAGTCGCTACAGCCAGCACGGTCAGGAGAAAGCCCGCACCTACAGCTGGGCCCAGAATCCGGGTGTGGACGGGAACTACTCGGCCCAGGGGGGGCCCCTCTACGGCCGGCTGTGCTACAGCAGCCACACGCTGCCCGTCCTCCGCCGGGCCCCGGGGGGGGGGGGCCTTCGACCAGGGCCTGGCAGAGCTGGCCTACCGCTTTCCCGGGGGCCAGCCGGACCACTCCCTGGTCATCCAGAACCAGGGCGCCATGGTCAGGCCGACGGAGGCGGGGGCCGTGTACGTGGCCCCCGCCGACCTGAGCGCGGGCAGCCGCGACGGGACGGCCCCCCAGAGCGCGGTCAGCACCTCGGACGGAGGCACGCCCAGAACCAGCAACAGCCAGGAGAGGGGGGGGGGGCACGGGCAGCGCCAGCAACTGCACAGAGGCCAGCAGCGAGGACAAAGTCAACCTCAACCAGGACGTGGAGTGGGTAAGGACCACGGTCGTACTCTGAAAACCGATCGGTACGAAAAAAACATAATAGAAAAAAAGTCAGAGGAAGTATTTACACAGGACGATATGATGTCTAACGTTTGATCCAATCCCCCGGGCCCCCAGAGGAAGGAACTTTAAGCTGTGGCTGTTTACATGGCAGTGTTGTCCATGACATCCTAGATAGCTTTTTGTGCAGGAAGTCCTGCAGCGCCTCGGCTAATGATGCCCCCCCAGTCCCCACTCCTGCTCATGCATATTTGAGCATTTACTGTGAAACTAGTATATAGAAACAGATAGCCAAACAATAAAATACCAGGACAGATGTCAAGAGAAAGCAGAACAAGACACAGCCTTTGCTCTGAATCATAAGAAAACGTTGTGTTATTTACCTGACTAATGATAGACGGCGGCATTGGCAACTTCATTTAGTTTTAATTGATGATTTAATTATTCAAGTGGATAAGCAAACAATAGGTAAGACGGTAATTAAGCAAATATAAAGGAATTATTGGATTGCCATTCAACTCAATACACCGGATAATTACAGGGATTGCACATTATGTTTTTTTTCTTATCCGCGTAAAAGCAAATGGAACGTGCCGGACAGAACTGTTAGGAGATGATGGCTCAGATATATTAGTGCATTTCTATTCCACTTTTCATTTTCCTGTCTATTGTATGAGGTCATGAGGCTCTCTGGTCTTTGCTTTATTTAATTTTCAAGTGTTCCATCTCTCTATCACTTCCCGTCTCCCTTTCACAGTGCAGAATGAGCCCATTCTGGAGTTCAATTAATATCCATGCTTTGGTCTGACCCTTCCTCGGCTCCCCTCTGCTCAGAGTCTGGCTCTGTTATCTTAATCATTTTTTGTCATCACCATGTCCTGTTTCTTCTTCATTTGGGCTCTGTGCCATCATTTCCCCAAATTATCTGCCTTCTTTTTTTTTTTTCTTGTTCAATTTTTTTTTTTTTAGCTATGCATTTTATTAAAATTCTCATCTGGTTTTCGCAAATTTGACAATCGTCTCCTCCAATGTTATGTCACAGTGACCTGATTCCTCTCCTCATGGTTTGTGTTCCCTCCAGGTGCAGTCGGAGACTTTGCCCAGGGAGCACAGCCTGGTCATGACCCGGTCCGGCTCCGTGATGGGCCAGGGTCCGGGTGCCGGGGGCTGGGTGTGTGACTCGGCCACCCTCCCCATGGCGGGACGCAGGGCCTCCCGGGGGGGCCTGTCCCCGAAGCGCGCCTGCCCCGGCCAGAGCGAGCCGGACTCCGGCGGGGGGGGCGGGCGGGGGGGTGAGGGGACGAGCGGAAAGGCCGCTTCCTCCTCGGACGGACAGCAGCAACCCTATAGTGGACACAACTACAGCAGCGTCCTGCACGGGGAGGGGTCCGGGGCCAGAGACTACGCCGGCAGCCTGGGGAGGGGGGGGCTGGAGATGGGCAGCAACTTTGTGGTGGCCAGGCCCGACATGGAGAGCGGCCTGTCGCTGACCGGGACTCCGTCCGGCTACCCGGAGGCGGCCGGCTTCATGGGGGACTGGCGGGATCGGGTGGGTCTGGGGGGGTACGGTCTGGGCCGGCGGGATATGAGCCCCCAGCTCCTGCCCTTCCCCGGCCAGCCCCGGGGGGCCTACGCTGGAGTGGTGGGGTACGGGCCGGGCTGGGTGCCGGGATTAGAAGCGGCGAGAGGCCCCCACGGGCCGGGGGGGGCCCTCCCTGGCCCTGAGGGTCGGCGAGTTCCTGCGGCTGCGGCTGGCCCAGGTGACCTTTGACCCCTCGCAGCCCCCGTACGACTCCGTGCAGGTGTACGGCCTGGAGGGGACCGGGTCCAGAGCCGGATCGCTCAGCTCGCTAGAGAGCGAAGGAGAGAGGGAGGATTGGGGGGCAGGACTGGAGGAGTGGGGGCCCCAGTTTCAGAAACTAGCCCAGCTCTTTAAAGACATGGGGAAAGAGAGGGAGGACAAGGAAAAGGTGGAGGAGGATGCTAAAACGGAGAGGGAAACCAACGAGGAGCCTGAGAAGAGAGAGACAAAGGAGGGGGGGGGGAAGGCTGGAGAGGAGGAGAAAGACTGAGAAACAAACAGGCAACGGAGGTATAGAGGGAGGGAGGGAGCGTGAGGATGATGAAAAGTCAACTAGAGCTAGAATAATGTAAAGAGAAGTTAAAGGAGAAAAAGATGAAGAGGCAAAGTAATAAAAAGAGACAGAGAAAAATGAGCCTGGGGAGGAGGGAGGCTGCGAGGGTGGGAGAGGGAGTGATTGATGTAATTTAAAGCAATAAGTGTTGAAACCCTGATATGGTTGAGCACAGATACCGAGACAATGCAGAGGCTGCTCCGGCTCAGGGCGGCAACAATTTGTTAAACGCTTTGGACAAAGAAAAACAACCCTAAACGCACCAGACTCGATTTAATTCGGCTCGCGCGTCTCGACTGAGAAACGGCGGGAAACGAGAAGGAAGACGTTCCCGGACGCGTGCACGTGCACGGTGGGGGAGCGTGGCCACATCGGCACGGGTGGAGCATTGTATATATGCATATGTTTGAGCCAGTGTATGTGCCAGATGCCAAACGAAGACAGGGAGGAATCATTTACCACCAGAGACAATTAAAGGAGAACGGTAACGACTGCTTTTGGGATGATTTTACAATACATTTTTATGAAGAAATTGGGGTAAAACACAGGGCAGAAAAGTACATACATGTATGTATATCCATATATATATATATATATATATGTATATGTATGGGTATATATGTCTGGTTATAATGGGAACGGGATGACAAGAATGTACAGAGACAGAAATGGGCTTCAAAGTGGGGCGATTGTACAGAAAACTGTTTCGTTTTTCTCCATCTGCAATGGCAGAAAAGTGAATTATTCAGCTTGCTACTCCATTCCAAATGAAAAAGATGAATCATTTAAATCCTCCAAAAGATTCTCCCTTCTTTCAGCCCACAAGAAAAAACAGACGCGGTGAGAAATTGAAAGGAGCTAGGGGTTGTGATCCCTCCCCCTCCCCACCCCACCACTCCTCTCCCTCCAGCTTTTTGTAGTTTACTGTTGATATGTTTACAAAGATTCACACACACCGACGCAAAGGGGACCGATTCACCCTGTCAGGCTTTGATTGCACCACCGGGGATCCTGAAAGCCAAACCACTCATGAGTATTTCATCCTCGTTTTGGAGTGAGGATCAGTCTTTATTCAAATCTGCATATAAGTTCTGGTGAATGAAGTCTCCCTTCCCTTCCTACTGTCACTTTACGCACCTTGAGGACAAAGTTTGCATGATTTTTTTTTTTGGGAAACCAAGGGGAGAGGACATAAAAGGCAATCAGTTCCCCACATTGGTCACTCATACTGCCCAAACACCCACAAATCTGCTGAGTAAACGGTCGGGGAGCAGCACCGCAGAGACTCCCGCTCTGGGATTTGAGTTCTCATTAAAGGTCATGATGCAAATAAGCTGGAGTTTTCAGCTGGAATGCACTTTTATACTGTGTGACGTTATATGATAGAGAAACGGATCATGTCAAAGATAACATTTGTTTTATAAGATGTCAGTGGGGAAAAAAAAAAAACTAAACATGTCTGACTGTATGTAAAAACATTTCAGATGTAAATACCACGTGATATTATTGCTGACAGAGTATATATATATAAAAAAAAAAGTTTAAAAAGAATAGGTGTCCAAATGGAGCACTGTTTGGGTCTACCTGTATGTACTGTAGATTAGAAGTTGAAACAACTGAGATGGACTGAAAACAACACTATGTACCCAACAGCTGTATATCGGTTTTGTCATGTGGTAGCTCTTGTCTTGATATGGACAAGCCGAGGATTTAATCATACATGTGCAAAACAGTTCTTTGGTCACAGGAAGTCCCCGTGAAGAACCAAACTGATGGTCATCCTGTGGGTTGAGAGCCAAATCCTCATTCAAAACAGGCATACAAAATCTCCCCCCTCCCAAAATCAGTCAGCACCATTCTTTTCCAAAGGTAAAATAACACAATAAAAAATGGAATATGTAATGATTTGGCAATGCCTGAGAGATGTGAAGTTTTTGCGGATAGTTCCCTCTCTTTGGGAATTTAATAAACTGTACATTAGGGGAAAGTGGCTTCTTTCATCTTTCATGCATTTCAGGCAGTGCAACTCAAATACCAATTTCCTATTGCACTTCTGCTTTGCCTGAGGAAAATCTCTTAATTCCCCCCCAAATAATGACTTTTCCCTGAAATAGTAATGTTACAACGGAGTGGCTGACTTCGGTCAGGCCGTCTGTGATGCGCCATCAGTTTGGTCATCACTGGGTCACTGTAACGTTACAGTAAATAAAGATGGCTACTCTATTCTCCAGTTTGGTTCTCTGGTATCTTGTCCCTTTTTCCCACTGCCAACGCTTGGTTCAGATGGAACTCACATCCACCTGTTGACCCCTCTGGCTGAGCTTCAGACATGTCCACGTAGAGCCACTAACGGTGGACAAAAACAGCACAAGAACTGATGAGTGAGTGTCGGGGGGGCGCAGAACCTAAGGAGGACTTCACTTTCAGATTTGAAGGAAACCACAAATCCACCTGTGGTTGGCCTGTTTGTTTCTTTGCAGACTACATTTTTTGGCAGGAAAAAAAAAATCCACTCTGATTGTCTCTTCTTCAAGATAATATGACTTTTTCTTCTTCTTTGGTGTTAATTCAGACTGTGTAGAAGACAGTCCAGACCAGTGTGAATTTGGCTGAGCATTAACATGCTGGGTGAAGTCAACTCCCAAATTCCTCTAGGCGTGTTATTATAGCCTTTAATGCTTCATTTTAATGGACAAGACATGCTAAAGGCTATTCGGAACAAAAGGAATCAGGTTTCATGGTTTAGAATGCTGCTGTACTGTAGGTTTTATAACACCTAAATTCTAAACGCTTGTTTACATCAAGCGTTTTTACTTTATTCTGACATTTTCTTAACTGCAGACTGCTAATTCTGCAGTATTGAGTGTTTCCCAAACCTGATCCTCATGGATCCCAGCCCAGCATGTTTTCCATGTTTCCTGCTCCACCCTGATACAGAAGTGTTGTAGGATAAAAAAAAATCCCAATATAGAATTCAAAGCAACCACTTTGGAATCTTTGAGTTTGAACTCTTTCATGTGGTGAAAATATTGTTCTCCTGTAGCTCTCGGCTCAGCTCAGCCCTTCTGGGAAAACTTTCTGAATCTCCAAACCGAGAGCAAACTGACTTCTGTCTACAGAAGATAAGAACTGACCCATCCCGAGCACTTTGCGCAACCCCTCCTCAAAAATATCCCTTTAAGGCGTTGAAATTGTACAGGATGTTTTTAAAGCCTGAAATCTGACAGGCAGTCGGTGCAGGGAGACGAGCGCTTTCTGCGTTTTCTTTTATTATTACCGGGGCCAAGAAGGCAGAAGATGAAACATGCAGATTGTTTTGTAAATCAGCACCTGAACCATGATGGACAGATTTTTTTTAGACTGTCTTAATATGTGCGATGAGCTTGAGGAGCATTAACCAGATGTGGGTTCCCAATTGGCCAGATGCCAGGGATGCCCATTATTAGCTTTTAATAGCTACTTATCCTAATAACATTGTAACCTAACTCTACCGGGGCCCATGTCTTTCTCCCTATTTTATTTTTCTTATCAGCTCAAAGACCACCACCGTCACCTTCTGAGTTGTGTCGGATCTTTTGTATTTTTTTACCTTAAGAACTCTCAACGATGCTTCCTTTATTGATTAAAATAATATAACAAGAGGAAGATAGGGATAGTTTATCTAGAGTCTTAAAAATGTGTCTATCTTGATTTATTTTCTTTGTAAATTAAGCTGTAGTTTGCGTCAGTAACGATGAGAGTAGAATGTTTCATTCCCTTAGAATTGCTGACCCAAGCATTTTTGCAGAACGTGCAGTCTCCCTGACTCTTACACAGAGGCACTTAAGAAAAGAAAGAAAGAACATACTGTCGTCAGTTCTTGCACAGTCTTTGCGGGAGCAATTGACACGCTTTACTAATGGCTGACCTTTCTCTCTTTTCTAATTATAAAGCTTATTGTGCCGTCTTGATTGATTCCAGGTGTCTCATCTGTGTTGATTCAGAGCTCTGCCCTCACTGATTGGTTAAAATGAAAGTGATGATTCTCTTGATTTGTCTTATTTTAGGCTTTCGGAGTACGCAGCCAGCTAAACCGCTCAACAGACCTGATTATCGCACCTCCTGAGCCCGGCAAATTGGTGTAATCAAAATACTGATTAGCTGAATCGGTCGGTTTTTTAGTGGAGTAAAGGCGCTGCTGTACCTACAGCACTCCACAACCCCGTCCTCACTCCTCCAGCAGAGGCTCAGATACTCCAACAAATGAGAGCTGGCCCGTCTGGGTCATTTGTCAAGTCCTCCTCAGAAACAATCCTGGGTGCCGAGGATTGCAAAGTCCCACTCAATTACAACATCAGGCACCTTTAGTCTGTCGAAACGTAGCCTGAGCTGTGTCCTCCAGACTGAAAACAAGTCCCCCCCGTTGGTTCTGCACCCCCCCTCCCCCCCCACCCCCCGTGACCTCATAGCTCCTGCACAATGTTGACACAATCTCACAACCGTGTACTGAAAAAGAGTGTATTTATTTCTGTTGTGCTTTTCCGTTTTGGAAAATTTGAAGTAAAAAGAATTGTTTCAAAGAGAGTAAAAAAAAAAAAAAATGGCACTGTGTGTGAAATTTCTTAACAGTCAGACCTGCTGCTGCTCGTACCTGAAATTGCCTGCTTTTGTGTGCACGTGTGAGCTGTTTATGCCCGATACAGAGGGAGTGAGGGGTTGCTGGTGCATACAAATGTGACAGCATAGATGTGTCTGATAAAGCTAAGTGGGGCGATGTGAGGTCAGTAATGGTGGACAGACAGAGAGAGTTCTGCAGAGTAATCACTGTTTTCCGACAGGTGAAAAACAAAAAAAAATCCCTGCTTGTGCACGGACAAAAGAAAAAAAAAGAAAAAAGGGACGTTCGGAACTCTGAAGCAGAGCAAATAGAATAAAACTGACAGCTGGATCCAAGTAGT